GGTGGCGCCCGGCTGCCAAGACAACTTCCACGCCCCCTCTGAGAGAAGCTTCAAGGCCTCCGTATTGGCCGCACTCATGCTGCCACCTGGCAGCAAAAACATCCCATCCAGATCGGCCACTACCACGGCGCACGGAAGCTGCGCCGTCATGGCTTCACACACTTGTTATACGGTCATCCCCCCCCTTTTGCCCCAATCAAGAGATACCGACCCCAAAACGAAACAAAAAAACAACGGCCCCGACAAAGCAAAAGAGGCATAAACTCCCCGCAGAGAAGTGTCACAGGAAAAACTGGAATTCAAATATAATAATAATAAAAACAATCGCCGTCGCGCACACTCCGCGCGGCTCCATTCCCACTTTGATACTGTTCGACTCCGCCGGAAACGGTGTCGGGGTAGTTCTACTTTGGGGCAACCGCACGTCTAATAAACATGCAGCAAGGCACAAGCAAGGCCCCCACCAATGATAAAAAACCACGAGGTCAAAGTCATGCCAAAGGCAACGCCGTACGCCGTTCTCCGTGGCAGCCGTGCGTCCTCGCAGTACCGACTCTCGAATATACTGGTTACTGCAGCCCACGAAATCATCTGAAACACGAAAGCGATGAACAACAGTAAGAGAACAAACAGGCGCAGCTTCGACAAATCATGACGCAGAAGCAGGCCACAGCACACCACTGCAAATAAGAGAACAATAATCGTCATCATACTGAACACCGTTCCCACCTGGAGTCTTTTCCGGACAGGCTCGCAGGTGATTAAGGAGGTGCGATTGGTGTAAATGGGGCTGTCGCAGTCCTCCTTGTAGCCCCAGTACGTGTAGCAAGCACCACCCACCACATCTACCTGAGAGAGCGGCGCCGCTACAACAGTCAATACAAAGGCCAAAGCTGTAGAGAAAAGTATCGCAAGAACACGTGTATTCGTATCCCGTCCAAATTCCCACAGATTCTCCAGGCGTTTCTTTATCGTCCTGCACATCCTCAGCACACCATCGTCATCCCGCGCATTCTCACGGCCTCTCGGTGGGCCAGGGCCACCTTGCCGGTCATTCGTTTTGGTTTCGAATGTTGGATTCAACCCCGCCCGTGCGGGTAGCACGTCACATACTGGATTGTTGACGGAGAGTCTCACTTGACTCAAACGCACAGGCGTTGCAAAAGCGCCCGCCGCATCTTGAGTAAAAAATGAGGGTTGTGCCGGCCGAAACGCACGCGTCTTATTTTCTTCCGCCTTAACGCTCTCCTTAGGGGTCCGTAACGCTTCCCTGCGCAAAGGGCTCTCCTCATTCGATCTTGCAGGCTTTTTCGCCTCCGTAGATAATGCTTCCCTGCTCATAGGGCCTTTCTCATCCGATCTTGCAGGCTTTTTCGCCTCCGTAGATAATGCTTCCCTGCGCAAAGGGCTTTCCTCATCCGAGTCTGCAGGGCTTTCTTTATCCGTAGAAAAAGACGAGGACGAGGTACTGACGTCGTCAAAAAATCGAATCCTGCGAGCCATGAATTTGGGATTGCCATCATGGGACAGAGCAACACCGGAGGTCACCGTCTGCCTTTCACCCGCGTCTGTGTCCCGCGGTTTCTGGGGCAAATTCCGCTGCAGCGACGCAAACGATGTCGCAGCTGCAAAAGCCGCCTGCTGTGGATGCTGCGGCAACGCAGTACGCTTCTTACCATCACCTCCAACAGCCTCGTCCTCGCTGCTCCACTTTTCGGCCTGAAGACGCATCTGAAACAATCTTTATCGCCTTGCTGCGCCACCACCAACTGCACTACTTCAGCCCCAAAACCCGAGGCGTCTACTTTCTGTCACACACTTTTTCTAACCAGCACTCACCAACTAATAAAAAAAGACATCAATCAAACAAATAAAAAAACTACAAACTTCAGCAACCCATGCAATCCCAGGACACACACACACACACAGTCAGCAGGGGAGTGAGGCCCCAACACGACGGACCAGCCACGCCACTCACACACGTCCGTGGCGCTTGAAATTATGGGCAATCATGCAGAGATGTGTAAGGAAAACACCAAGACCCCGCGTATAATTTCAGAGAGGATGAATTGCGCTGCTTTCCCCAAGACATGTGGCTGCTGATGTGTTCAGCAAACATTATTCTCAGTTGTCTTTTTTTATATATTTTATTGCCTAAGCCCTTGTGGTAAGTGTGTTGGTTAAAGGAAGCGCTAAGTCCGAATTTTCGTTTTGTATTTCTAGTCTGCTTGTCGGCCCGAGGCGGTGCTTTACATTACAACAAGAAACAATACCAAAGCGATGACCCCCGCTGTCCACCCCGCCACCAACAGGCCGAGTCCCACGAGGTAAGTCGTGGTGCGAGGTAGGGCCTTCTCACAGTGGTGGAAGTTGTAGACTATAACTGACACTACACAAAAAACCACCTCGGACGCCAGCGCCGCAACTAAGAATAGAGTGGTCCACATCTTGGAATTAGAGGATACTACCACATCTCGGCTCTGCTGCTGGCCATGTTCTTCTTCACGGGAGGAAGCTTCGGCAGACCTGCGTTCCCTGCTCTCTTCGTGATGGTCCACCAACGCTCTGAAGATAAGAAATATCACAACAGCATTAAAAAAGGCGAAAATGGCCGAAAAAGCGCCGCCCATGTTCAACCGTAGCCTCAAATCATTGCAGGCTGAGAACTGCGTGCGGTTGGAGTAGCTCATCGTGCCACAATCATCCATGTTGCCCCAAAATGTGTAACAACCATTGTCCGTCATATCCAGTTCAAAAAGTAGCATTGCCAGAATCACAAAAAGCCAATTGGCCACACACACGGCAAGGAAGATGCTGAGAAACGTTGTGCCCCCAAGGTGAGAGGTCAGCACACCAACGGTGTGCATGCAATGAGCTACCAGACCTAGCGTATTCCCCCTCTGCCCACCGGCAGTGTTGTGGTTCGACGACGGCACCACGGCTGGCCCAGCAACGTGCTGGCCCACGGTTTGCGGGGTATTTCCAGTGGCTCCGACATACCTGTCATAGTCTGATGTGACGGCATGCAGTTCACGGCCTCCACCAACATGGGGTTGGGGAAACCAGCGTTCGCGTGCCTCGTCGGGCCACTCACCGCCTTGCACCGCCGCCGCCGCAAGTGCAGCGGGACCTGACATCTCTGATTCTTTCCCACACGCACCTCCTTTCCAACCTCTGCAGAGCCTCTCACTGCCTTATTTGCCACCTGCACTACACAACATCAAACGGAGCCACAGAGAACATACAACCAAAGCAAAAACAAAAAAAAGAGGAAGAAATGCGACACCAAACACAAAGCACAGGTGG